ACTCACTGCTTTAATTTGTTTGGATGACCCCCCCCCCCCCCAGATTCTAGATTTCTGTATTGCCAGCTCGATCTTGATTTCATATATAACCCATACGAAAGCAATACGAAAGCGAAACCAGTAAAAGCAATCCCAAGATTTTTAACAAGCTAGCTTTTACTGTGCCCTGACACTCAGGGTACCCCCTCACCATTTCCTTGTCCTTAAATGACCCACACTTAGCAATGGTTGGCCTATGTTTCCCTGGTGTGTGTGGTGAACCCTTTCAAATTTAATTTCGTAAGAAACTACTATAAACGCACCACTTTATTATCAGTACTGGTATAGTATATGCTTCAGCCTTAACTTACAACAACACTTTATTTTGAAAGTTTATTATTTTATTTTTAATAAATTTACTGAAATTTCATTATTTTAATATTTTGGATCTTGAGGAAAAAGCCTGATCACTGACTTTTTTGTCTATTCCAGTCCATCATCTGTCCATCATCATCTGCCACAATGGAACGCAATGACTCCAGACTACTACACTGTCCNTACTACCACAATGGAACACAATGACTCAAGACTACTAATCTGTACTAGGATACACAGGACTATACTACCACAATGGAACACAATGACTCAAGACTACTACGCTGTACTAGGATACACAGGACTACTGAACTTCAAATGTAACAGACAAACAAGATGATGGATGCAGCAATTTTCAAGACAGTCAAATAACAATATGAGTTTCATGAATCGAATTTTCTTACCTCCCTACGTAGGGACATTAGCTTTTTCCGTATTATTTGTTTTACTTTAAGTTTACTAACTGGCTTTATTTGGCAAAAAAGCAGGTTACTTTTGAAAATTGGCACAATCTATTTACATTTACGGTAATTATTCTTGGTTTTTTGCACTACTTATGGTGATGTTCACCCTGTAACTGCCAAACCTTATTTTTGTTTTATATTAAGTTTACTGAGTGGCTTTGTTTGATAAAGAGGCAGGTTGCTTTCGAAAATCGGCCTGATTGGTTTACATTTATGGTAATTTTTCAGTTTTATTTTTGTTTGAATATTTTATTTTTCACACATTAGCATTTTTAGTGTCTTTTATGGCCCATGAAACTGAATTACTTGCTAGTTTTTCAATATCTGTGTTACTAAGTGTATCTTAGCACTCGCTCTTTGATGTTTTGAACATGTTTTCATTGCTGGAAATTGTGGATAGCCTCATGTTTATTAAGTTCAATATAGCATTGATGACACTTTCTGAGTGGTTAGATTTGCAGTGAATGTACAGTATTACTGTCCTTTTATCCAAGTTGTTTCCTTGTGGATGTTAAATTGGAAATGTTAAATGTTAAATTGCTCATTATATTTAAATGTGAGTATCAGGAATTTTAAAACTTGTCTACCTATTTTGCCTCATTAAAAATTATACTTCTCTATTTAAGATACTCAAATTCTATTTACTTTGCCCATTTCATTTATAAGGCTTATACTTGTAGCTCCACATAGCAAGCATCACCATTAATTATGTTGTGGTCTTCAAAAGTGTATTTAATTAATTAAAATTATTTTTATACTTGATTCTTCATGTTTGGATTTAATNTTTTTCAATATCTGTGTTACTAAGTGTATCTTAGTACTCGCTCTTTGATGTTTTGAACATGTTTTCATTGCTGGAAATTGTGGATAGCCTCATGTTTATTAAGTTCAATATAGCATTGATGACACTTTCTGAGTGGTTAGATTTGCAGTGAATGTACAGTATTACTGTCCTTTTATCCAAGTTGTTTCCTTGTGGATGTTAAATTGGAAATGTTAAATGTTAAATTGCTCATTATATTTAAATGTGAGTATCAGGAATTTTAAAACTTGTCTACCTATTTTGCCTCATTAAAAATTATACTTCTCTATTTAAGATACTCAAATTCTATTTACTTTGCCCATTTCATTTATAAGGCTTATACTTGTAGCTCCACATAGCAAGCATCACCATTAATTATGTTGTGGTCTTCAAAAGTGTATTTAATTAATTAAAATTATTTTTATACTTGATTCTTCATGTTTGGATTTAATGTCTTATAAATGACAAGTATTTTTTTAATGTGATTTGTGTCATTTATTTTTCTTAATACATGTAGCACTGGGAAATTTTTTCACAAAAATTTTTTACTTTGGTGTTTCTCAGCAGTTCCAGTACTGTCATGCTGGCTGCATGATCTTTGATGTGCCTTCCCAGTTTTTTCTTATTTATCAGGCCCCTAGCCAGCAATTTCAAAAGGGGGGTTCTTTTTCTGAAAAAGTGGACCTTTTTCTTTAAAAACTTCATGTACCTATCAAATTTTACCCAGAGTGGACTTTTCCCAGCAAAAAGGGTGGTTCTTTCGAACCCCCCGAACCCCCCTGGCTATGGGCCTGTTTATTTATTTATTTTTCATTTATTTTTACTGCTTGTTAACCTCTCATTGGTGGAAACTTTTCAGCCTCTTGCAATGTGCTGTGAAACCTATAGGTTATAAGTTATATAACTTTGCCTGGTTTTTCTGAAATAGAGAAACAGCATATGAAGTCTTCATGTCAAAGAGTAAGGTACATGATGTTCCTGACCCCTTCCAGTCACTTTATTCTTCAGCCCTTTCAGACCTTTTATCTTACAGTCAAACCTGTTTGTTAACTTTTAATTATCAATTTTATCATTTGAGGGCTTTAAGAGATAAAAGCTGTTGTCAAATTTCCTATTTCTGTATTACTCTGACAGTCTTATTACAATCTTAATACAGATTGGTTAGGAACTGAACACTTGCATGCATTAATATCATACCTGGTACATGCATGTTAGGGTGATATAGATTGAACAAAAGCATGTGAATATCTTTTAAAAAGTTGACCCACCCATATTGGTGTATCTTGGCAAATTGACACCATGCTGGGTGTCCCTTCCCCCTGAGGGCAGTTCCCCTGTCCACCACTTTAGCCTTAAAAAAGTTATTTGTCAAGATTATTCTAACAGTGGCCTTGGCTATTCAAAATAAAAAAGTAAAATACAAAGATACTCTGCCCTGAGAGATGGGACTCCCATACTGGTGAACCTTGACAGGTTCACACCTCTCTTGGGGTTCCATCCCCCAAGGGAAGTTCCCCTGCCCACTAGTTTAGCTTTTAAAAGGTTTTCTTTGAGAATTACTCTTACTGTGGACTTGGCTGTTCAAAATAAAATATGGAGTGTAAAGAAACCCTTGATTACCCATCTATCATTTAGGATGGAATAAAATCTACCATATTTTCATGTCTTTAACTAAAGTTCCACTCAGAGGTGGAGTTCTTGGGCAGGAGAATATCTGGCTTTCATTTTCTTTTTCAATTTAAAAGCAAGTTATTTTCATCTTGGATCATCATTTTCTCATTTTGATATTAAAAAAAAAAGAGTATACTATGTGTGGCTTTACAATTTTTCACTCTATGGTGAAAGCTGTGGGCAGGAGCATAGCTGCCCTCAGAGAAGGGACACCCAAATTATTGTGTATTGTAAGGTTGACACCACGATGGGTGTCCAAGCCTCCTAGGAAACTCCCCATACCAAACACCTCCAGCTGTCAGATTATCTAGAAATAATCATTTCTTTTTCAGACTGGTTCCTTGCAACGCAATAAATGATATGACTAGTAAGGTATATAATGATGGGCTTGTGTGAGACATCTTTTCTTCCAGGTATGCCTGTCTCTACAGTCTATTATTCTGCTCTTAGTAAATTTCATATGAAACAATACTGCCCCAATTCCAGCGATATTTTTTTAAAAATTTCAGTGTTTATAATCAAACTTTGGAAATAATTTCTCTTTCCTTAACTGTTGCACAACTTGTGTATTGGGCTGTGTTGAAAGTTGTACAATCTTAAATCTCTGCCTTGTGGAAGGAGGGACTCCTGGGTGTCCTTAGTTTTTTTTCACACATTTTTTATAATCTGATGGTTTTCTCTGAATTGTTTACCTGTTACTGATAACAGCTAGTGTGAAGTGTTCCCTGTTGAGTGACAGATTTGTGTTCAAAATGAAAACAGTTGAACATGGAATTGATATTTGCATTTATTAGTCAATCCGTTTTTCTGAATATTTGTTTCTCTTTGAATCTTCTTTTATAAAGCAAGCATGATATCGATTTAGTTACATTTTTGAACGATTACACTTGCACTAGCCAATTTACATTGTATGGGCCTGGCATGTATGTATTCTTCTCCAAATTGTCCAGTGTGTTAAAACTTAGACATCTACAATTGTGGTCCCTAATTTACTGCAGCATTATCTTTACAAGTTAAGGTACTGTATGTATTAGCTAGTATGTATGTAGTTTGTATGTGCATGTTTCATGAGTGCATTAAAGGAGTACATAATAATAATAATAATAATGTACAGACATTTCTGTCAGGGCTCTGCATTCAGCGCTGTTAACATCTGGCACACTTTTTGTAATAAAACTTCCTGCCATGACAGTAACCAAGAGTTGGGTTTGTTTTTGATTCAGTAAAAGCGAGTGATGTAGAGGTTTTAAATTAAAATTAAAACCCCATGAAGGAAATTTTCTACTTTAAGGGACAGTTCGTAAAAATAGAAACATTATTTGAAAATCACATATGGATATAGTTATAAATGAAAGAAAGTGGATGAAAGTCAAAGTTTTTGAACTATAATCAAAATCCATTTATGGTGTACAGGCCAAATTATTTGTTTAGGCCCATATTCGAGGATGTGGATTTGAAAACATTGCCCTTTTTGCTGGAAAGGGTCCAAAACTTATCATGGTACCATTACTGTGACGTATCCTAAGTTGGATCAACTGAAGGAGTAAAGAAAATTCACTTAATTTCAGAAAACAACAACCCCCTTAAGCGTCCCTCCCTTCAACATTGCTAGCTACTTATAAATATTCAAATAACCTTTTAGGAAATTTTTCTCTTTTATTTAGAAAAGAAAGAAAGAGAGACAAAACCCATTTAATAACATAATCAATATTTTATTGTAGCAATCAAAGAAAGGTATTTTAAGAAAATGATATTCTGAAGTGTTCAAACTGGCTGCCACAGAGCTAATAATAGATGTGCACTGATGACCCTGAAAAATGAGAGATGAAAATATTAAAATATAATTCAGTTAAAATGTACTAGTTGTAAAAATATGTTGACAGTAACTCTACAACCACCAGCTCCTGGCTGCTATCATATAATTACTGCTTTCATGTACAGTTTTACCAGCTGTTTGACTAGGTTTTCCTCCAAAACTCTTTAAGTTAACTTTGTTATGATGTCATTAAATCAAGGAAACAAGAAAAGGACTTTCTTGTGACTGTAAAATGAATCTGTTCTTTTATAAATACTGTATTTTTTTTTCATTTCTAAATGTCTGAAATGATTAGATTTAATAATGAATGATAATAATAACCATTTATGTTCTTGGCCTGCATCTGAAGCAAGATGTGAAAAGATGTAACATCCTCCTCCACCTTGATTGGCAGCAGTCCTTGGGAGCTGAAATATATGACACAGTATTACTTACTAATATGCAATAATAAATAACCTTCTAAGCAGTCAGTGCATCTTATTTCATGTATGAAACTGCATCAAAATATTTACCATTGTTTAAAGTTAACAAATTTGCCAAGTATCATTTTAAACTTACAAAAAGCACAAACTGTGTTGGCAAAACATAAGGAATGTGTATGCACGTGTGTGTGCGTGTGTGTACATTCATAGTCACATTCCATCAGTGTAATAAATAGATCCCTATTCTATTGCCCCTGCTGCCGTAACCTCTCTCCTTCATGTCTGCTGTTGCAGCCGTCATGTTTTTAACATCAACTGAAGAAAAAAAAGAAACCATACTTGTCCACAATAAGGATATCACATATTCAAAGATATACATGCAATAAAAACAGATAACAGTGAATTAACTTAGTGATTGTGCAAGAGAGTCTGCTTATTGTGTGGGTAAAATTTTAAAGTGTGTTAAATGAATGCCTGTTAAATTGATGCATACCATCTTACCTCTTTCTTTAATGCTCTCAGCATCTGACACACTCTTTCTGTCTTTTATGTCGCCTGAAGACAAAAATATGGAATAAGAACTATCTGTGTACAAATAGGATTTGGGCAAAAATACAGAATTGAAAACTCATTCAAAGTCTATTCATTCAAAAAATTAATTATTTTCATGAAGACCAGATTTAGTAGTATAAGACCAGCTTGCTTGAGCAACACTGTTCGTATGTATGTGTGCATATGTTAGTATGTGTGCATGCATGTGCATATTTAATATGTGTATAAAATCATAATTTAATCTGGGCTCCATTCGACCAGAGTATCACGGCGGGTTTGGGGATCAGATCCACCGCGACATTGTCCAAGAATAAATAAGCAAGACTTAGAATATATTTCCACAAAGTCTNTGTATTCTTCTCCAAATTGTTCAGTGTGTTTAAACTTGGACATCTACAACTGTGGTCCCTAATTTACTACAGCATTATCTTTACAAGTTAAAGTATGTATTAGCTAGTATGTGTATGTGCATGTTTCATGAGTGCATTAAAGGAGTACATAATAATAATAATGTACAGACATTTCTGTCAGGGCTCTGTATTCAGTGCTGTTAACATCTGGCACACTTTTTGTAATAAAACTTTCTGCCATGACAGTAACCAAGAGTTGGGTTTGTTTTTGTTTCAGTAAAAGCAGAGAATGACATAAAGTGGTCATTTCTTTTTTAGTTGAGTGATGTAGAGGTTTTAAATTAAAACCCTATGAAGGAAAATTTCTACTTTAAGGGACAGTTCATAAAAATAAAAACATTATTTGAAAGTCACATATGGATATAGTTATAAATGAAAAAAAGTTTGGATGAAAGTAAATGTTTTTGAACTATAATCAAAATCCATTTATGGTGTACAGGCCAAATTATTTGTTTAGGCCCATATTCGAGGATGTGGGTTTGAAAAAATTGCCCTTTTTGCTGAAAAGGGTCCAAAACTTATCATGGTACCATTACTGTGACTTATCCTAAGTTGGATCAACTGAAGGAGTAAAGAAAATCACTTTTTCAGATAACGACAACCCCCCTTCAGCATCCCACCCTTCAACATTGCTAGCTACTTATAAATATTAAATAACCTTTTAGGAAATTTTTCTCTTTTATTTAGAAAAGAAAGAAAGAGAGACAAAACCCATTTAATAACATAATCAATATTTTATTGTAGCAATAAAAGAAAGGTATTTTAAGAATTTAAGAAAATGATATTCTGAAGTGTTCAAACTGGCTGCCAAAGAGCTAATAATAGATGTGCACTGATGACCCTGAAAAATGAAAGATGAAAATATTAAAATATAATTCAGTTAAAATGTATTAGCTGTAAAAAGATGTTGACAGTAACTCTACAACCACCAGCTCCTGGCTGCTATCATATAATTACTGCTTTCATGTACAGTTTTACCAGCTGTTTGACTAAGTTTTCCTCCAAAACTCTTTAAGTTAACTTTGTTATGATGTCATTAAAGCAAGGAAACAAGAAAAGAACTTTCTTGTGACTGTAAAATGAATCTGTTCTTTTATAAATACTGTATTTTTTTTCATTTCTAAATGTCTGAAATGATTAGATTTAATAATGAATGATAGTAATAACCATTTATGTTCTTGGCCTGCATCTGAAGCAAGATGTGAAAAGATTTAACATCCTCCTCCACCTTGATTGGCAGCAGTCCTTGGGAGCTGAAATATATGACACAGTATTACTTACTAATATGCAATAATAAATAACCTTTACTAAGCAGTCAGTGCATCTTATTTCATGTATGAAACTGCATCAAAATATTGACCATTGTTTAGAGCTAACAAATTTGTCAAGTATCATTTTAAACTTACAAAAAGCACAAACTGTGTTGGCAAAACATAAGGAATGTGTATGCACGTGCATGTGTGTGTGTGTGTGTGTGTGTGTGCATTAACAGTCACATTCCATCAGTGTAATAAATAGATCCCTATTCTATTGCCCCTGCTGTCTTAACCTCTCTCCTTCATGTCTGCTGTCACAGCTGTTGTGTCTTTAACATTAACAGAAGAAAAAAAAGAAACCATACTTGTCCACAATAAGGATATCATATATTCAAAGATATACATACAATAAAAACAGATAACAGTGAATTAACTTAGTAATTGTGCAAGAGAGTCTGCTTATTGTGTGAGTAAATTTTAAAAGTGTGTTTAATGAATGCCTGTTAAATTGATGCATACCATCTTACCTCTTTCTTTAATGCTCTCAGCATCTGACACACTCTTTCTGTCTTTTATGTCGCCTGAAGACAAAAATACGGAATAGAAACTAGCTGTGTACAAATAGGATTTGGGCAAAAATACAGAATTGAAAACTCATTCAAAGTCTATTCATTAAAAAAATTAATTATTTTCATGAAGACCAGATTTAGTATTATAAGACCAGGTTGCTTGAGCAACACTGTTCGTATGTACCTGTGCATATGTTAGTGTGTGTGCATGCATGTATATATTTAATATGTGTATAAAATCATAATTTAATCTGGGCTCCATTCGACCAGATGCATGGGGAGGCATGTGAGAGGCGAGATATACATGTATTACAAGGACCAAAACTTTCACCCTGAAAATCAACAGCTACAAGGACCAAGACTTGCACCCTGAGAGTCAACAGCTACAAGGACCAAGATGTGACTTGCACCCTGACAATCCCTATTTGCATTTGAATAAACTTGTTTTAATTTTTATAAGTAGATTTTGCCTGTAAACAACATATATATATATAAAAAAACTTGCACATTAAAAATAAAACAATACATTGTTAAGTTGCATATACCTCTTACACTTTAACTAACTTCATGTGGTTAAAGCCTAAAATGATTACACAAACTGCATTTCTATATACTGATAACTAATAAATATTAATATTAGCAAGAGCACAGCTCAAGAACATATTTTTTCATCTCTTAGAAGTATTGCAGAGGTTGTGATAGTGGTCATTGCCACACAGCATTTGGCAATGATGGGTGCTTTTGTTATGATAATTGCAGGTGAAGGCATGGCAAAAGGATTAATCCTGGTCCTATACATTCTATTCAAGCCTAGAAGAAATTAATAGAGTTTTCAATAGAATATCTCTAAAAAAATTTCTTACTACATTTATTGCACGCTCACACGCATACACACTGAAATTAATAATAATAGATTGCAATATTTGTAATAGGTAAACTTAAACAGCACCATTTACCTTAAACTGCACTATTTATACTTAATTCATGACAGTATTGATAAACAAAGTTTATCTGGAATTGAATTTTGGGCAAAGTTGCACACCCATCATTCAATTAAAAACCCAATTTGAATCAAGGCCTGAAAATGTTAGAAAACACATGCAAGTCAGGGCACCACAAATTGTGGTGTACCCACTATCATGCCCTAATCATTGAAGGTTCTGTTTCATTTAATGTACAATAATTATAAATTTTAAAAGATGAGTTTTACAGATGATCTTCATCTTCCCATTATATAGTAATTACATTTACTTGATCTTTTCCATATGAAAAAGTTGTGATTTTTACAAATATTGTATTCAGTATTTTCCAAGTCATAATTTCTAAAAATCAGATCATTCCTATGGGATGGTACAAACAAAATTATAAACATACTTCTATATAGTTATATTCTATGCAGAAAAAGTACAAACAAAATTA